TAATTGCACTGACAGTCAGTAAATAAAATTATACCTTATCAGTCCCCAGGGAATTTGCAACTACATGAGTAACTTGTTCATCAATCTGGTTGGTGCAAACAGCACCAAACTGTTCAGCTGTCTGCCACAATGGGTGAAGGTGAGGATTTGCCTCACCGACAGGAAAAACCCTACTAAATACTATACGACAGCCAGCTAAGATTTTTCTCTGCTCTGACGCTAGTATATTTCTGACATCAACTTCTTCTAAGGATTGAGAAGCAAAAAAGCTTTGATGTATTCTCTCAATAACCTAATGAGGGCAGAATAAATTATCAACTCGAATAACAAGCCATCCAAATTAAAGAAAAAATAATTAGTGTAAACTCACTGCCAAAGAGGATGCCAGAGTTCCAGATTCAGGTCTCTCATCGTGATCAATCTCAAGAAGGGAAGGTCCAAGCAATCCAAACTGACGTCTGCTACATGGGAAGTATGTATACCTAAAATACCTTCAAAATTAATATCTGGACGATGCATTGGCTCTATATACAAAACCAAAATATGAATTACATGAGTTTAAAATCCCTGTTACACAGACCTTTCCACCACAATCAAGTTCAGTTTGTTATGAGGCCAGACCCTCACAGAATCATCTATGATTACAACCCCTGATTCCATACCCAAAACGCCTTCCAAATCTTTGGTTTTGGGAGCCCTCTCCTCACCATCAACTGAATCAGTATCATCACCTCTAGAGATAACTCTTCCAGCAAACAGAACTCCCTTCGGATCAAGAACCTTTGCCATTTCTGTTGCATATAGTTTGTTTCCCATAGTGTAAAGATGCAGCTCATACAGCTTGCTAGCCTACAAAGCATTTGGGAAAGATGTGAGTTCTTTAATTCAAAATGAAGAGCTTCTAACATGTCATGCTTAAATCATATTACAGAATTCATGTTACCTTCTCCAAGAAGTTCCAGATTCCTGGTCTGAGTTTAGTCCACATTCCCATATGAGGAAAGCGAAAAATATCTCTCTGAGGCTTCTCACGGTCCTCCTGTTCTTTCTTTCTCAATATCTCCTCATGCACAGGATCAACTTCCACGAACTGAGAAAATGTTAGTATGCAATAACACAAACTTTCATCCAAAGGAGAACTACCAATTTCATGCAAATTACCTTGGCAGAATTAAGTAGCGTGTGATCTAGGTCCAATACAAGACACAATTTCCGAGCCGCAAACATTTTATTCTGTTCATCGATCCTCCTCGCCCTCTCTCTCTGAATAGCAGCCTTCTGCTGCTCATCATAACCTTCAAAAAGATGCTCAACATCTCCCCATGTACTCTGGGATCGAGAGGTTGTACCTGGTGCACATGTTTCATGAGCAGATCCATTGCCAGCTTGCAGGTTCTGAGAGTTTGACACGGGAGATTTCTGCTCCCCCCTATCTACATTAAGGGGGACAGATGCAGAAGAAACACTTTGAGCTGCATGAGAGTGAGTAGATGATTCTTGGGAAACAGACATAATATCAGCAATATTTTTCAGATTCTTGGTGAACTGTCGAGTAATATCAGGTGCTGTACTTGATTGAGTAGGTACTAATTTAGTGTCCACCCTACCCTCCAGCTTCTGGGCATTGATATTGTCTCCAGTTACCTGGCTGTTAGACACAGGGGATACAACAGATTTGAATTGCTCATTCCCACTCTTTGGAATGGAGTTATTTGAGTTATTTGTGTGGAGAATGCGCCGAGGATCACGAGGTTTCATGCGAATCTTTCCTGAATAATCAACTTGTAGGCTTTGTGTCTGATTGTATCAACCACATGCAAAATGTGAAGTCCGGTTAGCTGGAAGGGATTTTATGACACTTAATAATGACTTTCAAATTCTTCAATCAATTCTTTAGTCCAAGCTCATTCATAATCAAGGATCATCATGATGTTAAAAATTCCAAATAAATCTTTAGAAGCAATAGGAAGAAATAAATATATAATTGGATACTAAAACCGTAGCCAGAAGTGATTATTAAAAAATTGACTTCATTAGTATAATACTTAAGATAAACAATCCCATAAAAGCATTTTACCATAGAAGTTGATTGTGATGAAACTGGAAGCATTCCAACAGAAGTTTGAAGACCAGCGGACATTGATGAACCAATACTCACAGGGGAGTCTGTTCCCATTGCCGAAGTTGAGCTTGTTGAATTTGAAGCAGAATCAGCTGATTTCTTCTTGGCTTCTGCTAATTTATGTTGCTCCATAAGTAAATTTAGCAACATGGTTGGATTTACAACTATATCTTTTAATAGAGCAGGTAAGGAAGCTGTCACATTACTACTTGTAACCGGTGCCTGCTCATTTCTAATGCTTGTTGCATTGAAATTAACAGAACCAGAACCAGAACAAGAACTACTGACTGTATTCAAAGTCTTTTTGGGTTCAGGTGCAAATTTATCCATTAAATGATTTTTCTCTATCAACTGAGCTCCAAGCCCAGCATTTTCTTCCAACCAACCACCACTTCCAGCTGCAGTTCTTACTTCACTCGTATTATGCTCAGTATTTTCAAATGAACTTTTTAGTCTTTTTGATACAGTTACATCCAAAGAAGGCTCCTCAGTAGCCTTTTGTTTCCTTGAGATCGTTGTTCCAGCATATTCCAGTTTAGGCATATTATGTATCACTGTGGATTGGTTATCACTTGCTTCAGAATTAATGAGTCGACGCCTAGGATCTCTACTCTTTGCAGAGCTTTTCACCGGGAAAGACCCCGGACCTGCTCCATCAACTCTAGGACTAATCAATCCAAGCAGTCTGGACCTATCCATGGATGTAGCAGAAATAGGTGGCTGGTCTAAAAGGTTTTTCTTAGAGCTTGTTAAGAAACCACAGGAAGGTGCACTAGAGACCTCCTCGTTTGTATCAACAACCATATCCTCACAGTCACCCGATGGAGTTGGACTTGGAAGTTTATCATTTGTAAAAAGGGAACTTCGACCAAACTTCTGTTGATATGTGGAAACAGCTTTCAAAGCATCAGTTTCATAGAGATGAAATTTAGAACCTTCACTATCAACTTCCATCTTCCCAAACTCCATCTTAGCAGCTGCTGACCCAGATTTAACCATGGCTTCCCCAACCGAAAGTAATTTATTCACAGGGAAGAAGGAAGGTGCCTCTCGAGTTGGTGATGGTAAACTGTCTGCATCATGATCCTTGTGAAGGTCTAACAGAGGGAGCAGAACCCCTCTACCTTTAATACTATTTTGTCCAAATTTTAAAGCCTGTGATACCCCAATTGTGTTACTATGTAAAGGCTTAATAGAAGAAGTCAATTCAGCAGATTCTACTGCTTGATTTTCCTGAGTCTTTATCCCGTGGGTTTGCACTTCGACAGCTGAATTTTCCCGAGTCTTTATCTCAGGAGCCTGCCATTCTGTCTCCATGTTAATAGGCTCACTATTTCTTAAAGCACCAACAGAAGCAATTGCAGTGATCATGCCCTGAATCTGATAGAAGAAACAATCACATTTCAGATTGTATCCCATCTTTGAATTTCTAAACTGAAAATTATGACGAGGATAATAAAGAACTTCCTAAATCCAGTTTCATCAGACATCACCTCTTTTATATGCTCTGGAGAAAATAATTGAGCCTGTTGTTTATCCTTCACTGAAGAAAGTAACCTGAAACGAAAAATTGCAGCCAAGGAAACATTAGTTAGTGATAGAAGACATTGACCCTTGAAAGAATTCACAGCTACAACCTAACAACTAGTATTTTGAAAAAACCTTAAAATGCTATCCTTGTTCTGTTTCTTTTCCGAGGAGTCCATAGAACAAAACACCTACAATAATCATAAAACAATCAAGACAAAATTCCCACTAAAGACAGGAATTATATATATATAAAGAGCAGCTAATGGTCTTACGGAATAAATCACTTCAATTGCATTAAGTAACAAGCGAATGAGATCATCCTTCTCAGAATCAGCAGGTCTAAGGAGCACCTCAGGAAGGACATTCAGCAGCCTACTAGAAGTTTGGGTAAATGACCTACAACAACAAATCACAATCAATTTTATTTGACGAACTTGTAATGTATCTCCAATGCCAACAATCCAGTGAAAAGGAACAAAACCCATGAACAGTTCCACTTACTCCGCCACATTAGCAACCGTAACACTCTCCAGAACTTCCCTCACACCAAGCTGCTCGGAATCAGAAACACCCCTTTTTACACCAAACTGTTCAGAATCAGAAACAATCTTAGAAACAACAGAAGCAGCCACAACACTCTCAGCCTCTGTTTCAGGGTCAGCATCGGCATCAATCTCACCCTCCTCCAACTCCCCTTCCTCTTTGTCCACATCCACAACAACCACCTCCTTAGGATTCACAGAAACAGAAGCAGGTTGATTGGAGTTGTTGCTGTTACTATTAGCATTGGCGTCAGAGTCCAGGTCCATCACAAAAATATCATTCAAAGGCTTGTTCTGCACGGCTTGTGCCCAAGCAAGGTTATATAAACCTGAAGCATATCCACGGCAAAAAGTAGGGTATTTTGAGTAAAGATCATGAACAGCCCAAACCCTAGCATCACTTCCATTGGGCTTATTGTTATTGTTCACCTTAATATCTTGCTTATTGAAATCCGCTTCCGAAATCTCTTCCACCGATGCAGTATCCGAAATCTCACCCTCTTCCACATCCTCAACCTCCTTCCCCATCTTCTCCAAATTTCCCAATTTCTCACAATCTAACAACGATCCGAAAACCATAGAAAGCAGAGACAGACAACAAAACAAACCGCGACTAATCGCACGATCTAAATGGAGGAAAAGTTTTAAGGCAAAGTGATTTAATTAGGGTTTCAATTTGGGTCCTTCGAAACCTCGTGAGATTTAGGGCGTAACAACAGTGATAAAAATAAATCCGAAATTTCACGGTGTCGGATCTATTTCTAGAGATCGGAATCGCAGAGAGTTTTCTTCAGATCCGACGAGCGATGAAGCAATCGGGTTTTTCGAAAGAACAGAGAAAGAGAAATAACACTCACGAGAATAGTGAAAATTGTTTATAATAACAATATTGAAAATTTTAAAGAAAAAGATTATACGCGAGGGTGGCGGAAGAATGGGAGAACGAGGAAACGAGAGAGGGTTTTATAGGGATACGATACGAAGGAGAATCTAAGTGTGATAGGATTTTGAATCTGGACCGTACACGTCACTGATCCCCGAAAGGAACACCGTGTGCTTTGTTGCTTACGAACGAGAATGACCCAAGTACAATCTATACTATTACGAGTAACTATTCCTCTGTTTCCCATTTTTTCTTTTTCATTTTTTTAACCATTTTCTAAACCCATTTTTTTCATATTTCTAATATTTTGTTTGATTAAATTGTACTTACTTAGATAGAGATTTCTTTCATTGAAGATTATGATGTTTGAGATTTTTTTTTTAATCGGTATCCTCTGTTAAATGTTATCTTCTTTTTCTTTTTCTTTTTAACATGTGAAATATTACAAATAAATATAATTATATATCGTAATAAAAATAAAAATTTTAGTTTGTTATCTGATAGAGATTAACTTTTTTTCCTAAATTAAACTCCCATTAGTTACCTATTTATCTTGTTTTAATTAGAATTTACCCATACTATATATATATATATATATATATATATATATATATATATATATATATATATATATATATATATTTTTTTTTTTTTAAACCTTCATTTACTAGCCTTGAACTCAGAAATCTACCAAACTAATTATCAGTTGATTTATTTAAATTTAATAAATACTTACGCTATCAATTGCGAAACTGAAATTAATTCAATAATTTTATAATTAATTAATGATTTTAAGATGAAAATGTAAATCATTTGTAATTTATTTAAAATTTAAGTTTATAAAATTATCAAATATTTGTCAAAATGGTTTCGTTACTTTTATTTATATTATGAAATTTATGACGCATAAAAATCTTAAATGAGTTTTTTTATCTTTTTAACAGAATATACTTTTCATATATACACTAATAATTTAATAATATTTTTTAAATGAATTTTTTTGGAGTTGAGAGAGTGATCCTCCCTTCAATTTTTGTAACTGTCACTAAACTTAATTAATATTTAATATATTTATATATATATTTATAATTTTATTCTATTATATAATTTATGATTTTATTTTCCTCAAATGATTATTTAATATATTTAAATATATATTTATAATTTTATTTTTTTACCATTTCATTTTTTTTATATTTATTTACTATTTATTAATAATATATTATTTAGCTTCTAATATAAACTGTCAAATATAAAAAAAAAATCTCATATGTAATTTACAACTCTTGCTTTGCAGGCCAACTTTTATATTTTTTAACTTTTTTATATTTTACCAATATTGTATCTATTTATTTTTTACCATTTTTTATTTATTTATCTCTTTATTTTGTTTTATATTCAATTTCAATCTAGTTAGTGCATTCTATTATTGAATTCATCTCGTTATCATTTACTACTTATTTTATCTATCTATTTTATACTACTTATTCGTTTTATATATATAACTTAAAATAGTAATTAAGTTTGAGTAGTGAGTATATTATTATAATAGAATTATTAAATTAGTAAGGAAAATCTTGGATAATTTATACTTTGCTTATGACCTAAATGTAAATATTAAAAAAAATTATTTGATGTTTTTTAATATGTTAAAATGGAGAAAACCAAGTCTCTTTATTTCTTTCAGTTGTGTTTGCTTAAGAAATAATTAGATTTTCCTAATGCAAGGCAGAGTTAGAATAGTGTTGGAAATATTCTTTTATTTTATTTTATTTATTAAATTAAGTATTACATTTTTTTAGTATATTTGAAATTAAATATATATATATATAATTATTATTTTTACTGAAGTAATTATGATTAAAATGTTATTAATATTTTATATTTTATTATATTTTTATTCTATGTATACATAAAATATATAAATAAAAAATATATTCACATAATATATATTTTATATATAAAATAATATAAAAAATCTACAAATTCTCATAAAATAATTAATTTTAATTATATTTTGGACAAGATTAAGCTTGACCTTGCTTGTTAGAAAAATAAATACTTTTCAAACTTTACAATTTCTGTCCTTAATGTATATATTTTTAAAATTTAGTATTTTTGTTTTATTAAATTTGTAATGTGGGTTTTTAAATATTTGTTTTGATGTAATTATAATCTATATATTTAATAAAAATAATAATTTTGGTATCTTTTTTTATAATAACAATATTAATAATAAATTTTATTAGTTGACTTTTACCACCTCGTGTTTTTTTTTCTCTATTATAATAATAATAAATTAAAAAATTAATCTAATTGAAAGACAAATCCCAATTATCGGAAAAGTTATAATAAAAATTAAGAAATTAATTTGAGGATAATTTATTAATATCCACTATGTACACCTGGCATACGCGATCTATTCAAATATTCAATTCAGCTACTTCCCCTGAAGACAATCAGAGTCTACACTTGGCTCCATCTACCTTTTTCACCAATCCGCATAATAACTATCCAACGGCGCAAAATCTTAGAGGTAATTGTACCCTTGCACCCTACCGCACCAGAAAACTCCCCGTCTCCCTTATCCTGCGCACTCCGCCACTGCCACTGTGACCACAATGGCGGAAGTGCCCGAAACCAATCCCCCACCGCCGGACCCTCCAATCCCCTCCGCACCGGACGCCGCGGAGGAAACGGCTCCGCCGGCTGCAGCAACTGCATCGCAGCCGAGCACCGACATCGTTGCCCCTCCGGCGTTAGCTCCGAAGCGGCAACGCCGTCCGAGTGTCCGTCTTGGAGAGATTGGAGACCAACGCGCCGCCGTACACGGCCACGACTCGCACAATCGCCGCCCGAGTATGCCGCCATGGAGCTGGCGGACTCCGAAAGAATCTTCCAGAACTTCGAAGGCGCGCTCCGTGACGAACCTCGCGAACGGCGGCGAAGAATTCGGAAGCACCAACAACCGAAGGGGAAAAGCGAAGCGAGGAGGACAAACGACGAAGCGGTTGAGATCAAATTGGATTCCGAGAGCAACTATGGACGAAAACGGTGACGAAGAAGGTTTTAGGGATTTTGAACACGAACTCGAACAGGATCAGAGTCCAGTGCACTCGGTGGAAGAGAACGGTGGGGATTATTGGCACGTGGATCGGAGCGAGGATCCTAGGGTTAGGGTTTCAGAAAACGACGGCGTTGAATCTGAATCGCGAGACCGGAGGAAGAGCGATGGAGTTAGGTCTTGGCTGTTCGAGTTAGGGCTGAGTAGGTATGCGCCTATGTTTGAGATCCATGAGGTCGATGATGAGTTGCTTCCCATGTTGACATTGGAGGATCTCAAGGATATGGGGATCAACGCCGTTGGTTCCAGAAGGAAAATGTACACTGCAATCCAGAAGCTGAGGAAATGCTTTCCATGACCGATGTGTAATGGGATCAAGATGAATGAATGTATGTATGTATTATGTATGTGTAGTTTTTTTTAGTTTCTTTGTTCTGGCTTTAAATTGTGGATAGAAAATGCACACGAATGTATAAGTTTTTTTTTTTATCTATATGGTGAATGAACAATAGGTAGTGACTGCTATTACCTCTGTTTTCTTTGTTGAAATTTGTCGATGTTTTTTTTTTCTATTTTTTCAGTGTGAATTTTTTGCCATACTTGAAATACTGTTTAGCCAAACCCATAGATTCTTTAACATAGGAGAATAATGAACCTGATGCATAGCCACATAATCAATGCACCACCAATTATATAGTCAAAGTAGCTTCCTTAGTTTGAAGTATTGTACAATTTAATGCTTTGATAAGTTGAAGAGTGGCTATGTTTTTCAAGTTGTCCCACAATTAATAACAATTATCTCTTCATTATAACATTCTTCTTAGCTTATCTGTTAATTATTATAATGAGAATGATCTCTTCATTATAACAGTCCTCTGCTTGCCTTTAAGCGAGAGATTCTGAAGTGCTTGATCACTAAATTGACTTGTATGAATTGTGTAGACTTACTTCTTGTTTCATTCTGCCATTTCCTGGTCCCTGATAGACTGAACAACTATTTTGATATACTGCAAACTTAGGCATGTCGTCCCCCGGTTAGATTCGATTCGAATGTCTGTCAAATATAAGATGGTTGGCTGGACAGAATTTTGTTTGTGTATTCTGATTAACCATTCAGCTACTCTATATGTATTCTAACTTTGATACTGCAACAGGGGTAACTTTTTATTTTATTTTTTCTGAACATATCATGAGAGTCAGACATGATGATATGGTACTTGTATTTATTATACTGATAAGGTTTCCTTATCCTTGTAGATAATTGTGTTCATGTTTATATTCTGCGAAGTGATTAATAAGTAGTCATAACTTTTATGGTGGTTGAGAAGGCATCTTATCTTTTCATTGTATACTAAGTAATTTTTATAAATGACGCTCTGGATTGTTTGAGCTACCTGATCCTCATTGTAACTATATTTTTTGCAATGCGACACTGAGCTGGTTTGTATTTGAAATGGTTCAATGAATTGGTTTGTATTTTAAATGGTCTTAATAGTAAGATTTGATGTGGAGAAACTAAAGTCACACTTCAGCTGGCTTTAATCAGATTTTGGCAGCGAAAAAGTGAGTGAGATAAGTTGGAAAATGGTTTATAATGAGTAGATTAGATTCGTCTTCTTGCATAAATTGGTATCATTTGTACCTACTTTTAACTTTAAACTGGTCTATGTGCTTGTGAAGCTAATCATGATTTCAATCATACTTTTTGAATTAAGGGTAGAATTATATGCTCTTATTGGTTTAAATGAAGTGCACTGGATAATATTATCATTAACATTTTGCCACCTAAGAAATCCGTATTCTGTTCGATTGATTTAAAACAAACAAGTTAAGAATCTATTCTGTTTGATTGATTTGGCATGTCAGGTTAAGGTTTACCAGTTTTTTTCTTGATTGTTGTTTAGAGGTTCCTGTAGTTTCCACATGATGAATGGGATTCCACTTGCTTGCGTCGTACCCCGTCTCTAATATCCCTGAAGTCACAACCACTCTTGCCATAATGGAAAAATATTTATCATCTTTCCTGTGATTCTCTTATCCCCTTTAATTCTCTTAAAATATGAAAAGAAATGTTTATTATCATCCCTCTTTTTGCATGGTGTGGATAATAATAGGCTTTTTGGGAAGGAAATACGTTGCTTCTTAATAAAATACTGGGATCATTACAGCCTCTTATTGAGGCCCAGGTCCAGTCATTGAAGGTTGGACATTTGATTTAACATAAAAAAACGGTTAATTTCGGTAAGAAAATTTCTCCAATGGGGCAACATCAGAATCATGCCCATTAAAGTTGAAGGATTAAATTCGTTGCTACCATTACATATGTATAAATATAATTCGGCAGAAAAGAAAGGTACCATGAGAATCAAGTTATCTAAAAGATCATACCTTATGAATTTTTTATTTTATATTTTAATTAAATGTACGATTGATGAGTATCACTTTCAGATACCTATTTAAAAATTTCTTAATTTAAGAACTGATATGAAAGTTCTACACACCTTAAAAATATAACTAACTACTGGTTCACTCCATGAGTTATATATAACTTAGCCACGTATTAAATATCCTAAACAAAATGTTGGATTTGTCCACATAACGGGCCTCTCAAGAGGGAGCCCAGCCTATAATCTTCATAAGAAAGTGGGATATTGGGCCAAACGAAAAGAAAGAAAGTGAGATCTTTAAAACATCTGAGACGATTTTTTCTACTAGAAAAAACAAATGTTGATATATAGGCAAACCCATATGTTCATCGTTTTTGCATCAACGACAACAATTCAAATTCAACTAATTAAATCAGATAACTTTTTTATTTTAAACTGATCCACTTTAAACAAACCAATGTTAATCGATACGGGAATATGTTGTTGCTATGAATACGAATTTTGTTCGGTGTTTTTTTTTTTTATTATTCTAGAAAATCTATCTTAAACGTTTTAGAGTCGGTTACAGTTCAGTAACAATATATTCGATCAATATTTCACGATTCATGAATAAATATCTTCGAGTACAAGATATTCGGTACCTGATCTCCACGTAATAATTACGAGGAAAAGACATACATCCCTGACACTACAAAATCTAATTTATAATTTACAGATACAATAAATTTAAACTAAATTAATTATATTTTTTTGTTAATAATTATTATGGATAAATATTTATGCCGTAATTATATAATGTTATTATTTTTGGTATTATTTAGTTTATGTAAGTCAATTTCACTAAAAAATATTATTTATCTCTTTCAATAAGATGATTCTATTTAAAGTTCTTGATAAAATAGTGCATTTTCTCTTTTTTATTTCTCAAAATATAATTTTGTACTTTTCATATAAACTAGGTTTAGTTCATTCAAATTTAATCAACTTATTCTTGATTGTTTTTGTTTCATTTGGATTAGACTTTTTTTCATGTATTTGTTAATTTGTTTAAAAGTCAAAGCAATTGACCTATGTACAAATTTAAATCAATTAGACTTTTTCGAACTATTTAAAAGGCTGATCTAAATTATTACATGTTAATATTGTTAGAATTAATTTAATTAATTCATTCCATTATATGACTCATGTGAAATATAATAATGAGCCCAAATGTGATTTAATAAAATATGAGGACCTATTGGTTATTATGTGAAGTTAGAATAAAATAAAGATAAAATAAAAATATTAACTTACAGTAACCAACTTGATGGACGTTGGTTAATAAAATGAAATAAGGGTTCTATCTCTGGTCATAAAGTTTTTCACGGTAAATCATCAAGAAAGCGTGAGAAGAGAAAGAAAGACAAAGAGATAGATTGAGAAAAGTAGATTGGAGAACGAGAAGATTAAAGAATAGATTTTCATAGATCAAGGTTAGTTCTCTTATTATGATTCATGTACGTTATGTTGTGAAAATCAATAATCTAAAGATCCTGTATAGTAGTTTTCCATAATGAATTAAGAACGTAGGAAAACTACATAATGTTTTACATGTGATATCAGAGCCTGATTATTAGATTTATGATTTTCCTTGTATGAAAGTTTTCCCAAATATTAAGTTTTTCCCAAATTAAGATAAACCCTAATTATGAATTATGGATTTCTCTATCAGATTAGTATGAACCCTAATTTATTCCCAAATTTATTTTTCTCAAAATTAAATAAAGGAATAAATTATCAAGTTCTAAAGGAAACCAATTTTATAGCCCCTATGCGTGAATGAACCCGTAATTGATTTTAATTGAAAAGACAAATGACGTGATATGGTTAGGGTGAATCATGTATGAAATTAGTTTTATTGTATGTTATAATTATGATGAGATGTTATGATGAAATGTTATAATTATGATGGAAGAATGGTAAACTGTAAAGTTGATAACTTTGCGCGTAGAGAACACGTGTTAAACACACAAGTTTCATATATTATATTATATTATTTATAATATTCTTTTGTAAGTACATATTTTTTTTTAGTGAAGGATAATTAAAGAGTTATTTCTTTGTTAAGGGTACTGTAAAGCTTTGTTAAGGTATTGTAAAGTCGCTTTGTTAGGGTACTCTAAAGTCTGCTTTGTTAGAGTACTCGTAAAGTCTGCTTTGTCGAGGTACTTTGTCGAGGTACTTTGTCGTGGTACTTTGTCAAGGGTACTTTGTCAAGGGTACTTTGTCAATGTTCTGTAAAACTTTGTTAATGTTCTGTAAAACTTTGTTAATGTTCTGTAAAACTTTGTTAATGTACCTATAATGTAAACATTGATAAATGAATAAATTTTGTTTTGCAAATTGAATTATATTGTTTCAGCCATCTGTGTTTAAATTACTCATAAAAGTTTTGAATGGATGACAATTTCACTTTTACGTGAAATGCAAATAAAGGTCTTTGATTGAAAATCAATCTTAAGATGAAAATTTAAATTATGAGTTTCAATTTTATTTATGGCACATAATATTTTATTATGTGAATAATGTACATATTTATTAAAATTAATAATAATAATAATAATAATAATAATAAATGCTATGAATGGTTAATAGCAATTAAAGATGTTATTTATTTGAAGTTAAGCATGATAAATTTTGTTAGTCACCAAAGTGGCCAAAATTTTAAGGTTATTTTGATTTCAAAATATTAGTGATTTTATTTCAATTACCTATAATATGAATGCTAAAATTATGAATAATGATTTATGGGTTAATTGAAGTTCATTATTATAAGGCATTTCAGGATCACCCAAAGGTTGATTAGTTGTTATTATAATTAATGAACATGAAAGTAGATAATTTTGTGTGTGTCACTAGTTTTATTTATATACCCAAAGGTGTTAAGTGATTCTAGTTGATGCATATTTTAATTATCATTAATGTTATAAAA